CTTGCTCTCTTTCATCTTCTGGGACCCCAATAATTCTGATGTTGGTTCGCTTGAAGTTGTCCCAGAGGTTTCTTACATTATTTTCAATTTTCTGGATTCTCTTGCCTTCTAGCTTCTGTGGAGGAGTGTCTTCTGGCTCTTTATGTTCCAAATCTTTGACTTGATTCTTGTGATCTTCCCTTCTGTTTTTAGGACTCTGTAAAATATTTTTTATTTCAGACAATGTATTCTTTATTTCTTGTTGATCCCTTATCATTTCTCGATGACTCCTTATTAATTCTAGTTGATCTCTTTTCATATCCTCATAGGCCTTATCCATCTTTTCTAGGAAATTCTTGAAAAACCTTATAAGTGTAGATTTGAACTCTATATCCAGACGCTTTTTGTCCTCCATTTCTTTCGTTTGTGATCTATTTTGTTGTCTCATTTCGCAGTTACTGATGGGATGGGGTTTCAGGGTGGAGCCTGCAGCTTTGGCTTCCGTCAGCCCCGCCCTCTGCGGGTCCTTCAGTGCTCGCTGCCAGCACCTCTGAGAGAAAGGTGCCCTTGATTTTCGCCTGCTGCCAAACAGTCTATGCTCTCCCCCAATGAGTCCGGTATTGGGGTTCAGTTCAGTTGGAAGTGGAGTTGGAGGTGGCGTTCACAGCAGTCTGGAGCCCCAGTCTCCTTCCCGCCAGGGCAATCCCGCGGCACAGCCGACTGTCCATTCTCTGCGCGCAGTGTGTGCACCGCCGGGACCTCCTTTCGCCACTTCCCCGGGGTTCTGCCTTACAGCCCGGCTCCCTATGGCTGAGCCTGAGTCCCCGGGGTCTGGCTTAAAACTGGGGTTCAGAGCAGTCGGGGGCCCAGCACAGTCGGAGTTTTATCTCCTTCCCGCTAGGGAACGCCCGCCAGGCACTCCGTCTCCCCCTCCTCTCTGGCTCCGTCCTCTCTGCGCCGCTTCTCCGTACCTTGGGCTTTTCCAGCTCCTCCGCACTTCCTTCTGGTTTTCTCCTTGCTTCTCGCTGTAGAATTTCCAGTCAGTCAACCTTCCTGTAGTTCTGGGCAATGTCCGTTTTATATTTTAGTTGTATTTTATTGAAATTGTTGTGTGCGGCTGCGGCTAGGTGTTCACCTGGGCGCAGCCATCTTGGATCTCTCTCTAGTGTTCAAATCATTTAAAGAATTCTTATAAGTTAACAATAAAAACACAAAAAATACAATTAAAAATGAGTGAAGGCCTTGAATAGATATTTCTCCAAAGAAGATATAAATTTAAGTGATCAATAAACCCATGCAAAGAAGCTCAACATTATTAGTCATTAGAGAAATGCAAATCAAAACACAATGAGATACCTTTACATCTACCAAAATGGTAGTAATGATAGTCAGAAAATTTTTTTTGTAGAATATGGAGAAAGTAGAACCTTGTACATTGCTGGTGGAAATATACACTGGTATAGCCAATATAGAAAACTATTTAGTGATTCCTCAAAAAAATTAAATATAGTATGACCCAGTAATACCATTCCTAGGTATGTATCCAGAAGAATTGAAAACAGATGTCAAACAAATACTTGTACACAAATCTACATAGCAGTGTTATCCAATAAGTAAAAAGGTGGAAACAATATAAATGTCTATCGATAGATGAATGGATAAATAACATGTAGTAATACATATAATTAAATATTATTAAACAATAAAAAGAAATTACTGATAGATGATACAGCATGAACAAACCCTGTAGACCCTGTACTAAGTGAAAGAAGTCAGCTACAAAAGGCCACATACTCTATGATTTCACTTATATGAAATATCCAGAATACCTAAACCAATAGAGATGGAAAGCAGACTGGTATTTTTGGGGTGCTAGGGGGAGGGGTAAATGTGGAGTGATTGCTGAATAAGTGCAGGGTTTCCTTTTTGAGGTGATGAAAATGTTTTGGAGTGACTTAAGTGGTGGAGGAACAACAATGTGAATTTACAAAATGCCACTAAATTATACACTTTAAAATTATTGTTTTGTCTTTTATATTTCACATTAAGGAAAAACGAACAAAGGAAAAAAGTCTGCCTTTGGGTAGAGACACACCTGACGCTAGATGTGGATGGAAAACTGAAAGGCATGGAGAGTGGGAGGTCACATGGGTACAGACGGCAGATTCTGAGAGGTGGAAAGACGCAGCTGTCCTAGAGGACAATGACAAAAGGTAAAACAACACTGCCTGTAGTGAGCAAGAATAAACATTAGAGGCCCTGACCGATGTGGCTCAGTTGGTTGGAGCATCGTTCCATACATCAAAAAGGTCATGGGTTCAATTCTGGGTCAGGGCACAAACCCAGGTTATGGGTTCGATCCCTGGTTCTGGTGCGTGCGGGAGGGACACAACTAATCAATGTTTCTCACATTTATCTCTCTCTCTCCCTCTCTCTTTCTCAAATCAATAAAAAAAAAAAAAAGAATAAACATTAGAAAGCGTGGATAGTTGGTAAGTAGATGACCCTGCTCAGGGAAAGGAGAGTCATTGGATTACAATCTCTTAGCCTAAGAGCCAGCAAGTTTTTGACTCAAAACCACAGAATCATTTGGCCAGTCTACATGGATTGGCTCTGCCTCCATTTCCCGCCACAGTTCTCCCCTGGGCAGCAGATATCTGTCTGTATCTGCTTCTTGCAAACACATTCGGAGAATTCGTTCCCAGGCTTCCCTCCCTCTAATCCCAGGGTGACTTAAGTCCCATGAAATCTAGACCTTGCTACTCAAAGTGTGATCCTTAGAATAGGAAGGGTTCCCTGGAAGCTAAATCTTAGCCTCCTTCCCAGAATCAATATTATAATAAGATTGCCTTGCAATTTTTATGCATATTAACTAACATTTGATAAGCGGCCCCCCCCCTCCCCCCATTTAGAAAGAATAAGAGACAAAGGAGACTTGTTTTCCCCAAGGGCATGCTGGTGCCTGATTCCAGTTAAACGTATTAGGATGATCTCTCAACACCGTTTATCTTTCCAGATAAGTTTTCTAAAGGAATCAAGTTAGGGTGTTCCCCTTACTGTAGAGAATCTGGGCTGGCACGCTTCATCTTACTTCCTGCTTGTTTTCAAGGCTGATTTAATCTTCCTCTCCTTAGCTGCTTCCTGTCCCTGAAACTATCACCATTTTTGGCTACCGGGCCGGAAATTTCACAGCCCCCACACTGCATCATCCTTCTTCCTATACACCATACTATTTCACTTATTTATCTTGTTTATAGTCTGTCTCCCCTGCTAAAATGTTTATTCAGTCTAGTGGGCGTGACTCGGTGGTTGTGCTGCGACCTATGAACCAGGAGGTTGCTATTTGATGCCCAGTCAGGTTGGGGTTGCTGGCTCAGTCCTCAGTGGTGGGCATGCAGGAGGCAGCCGATCAATGATTCTCTCTCATCCCTGATCACTGATGTTTCTCTCTCCCTTTCCCTTCCTCTCTGAAACCAATAAAAATATATTTAAAAAAAAGTTAACTCCAAGAGGCAGAAATTGTTGTGGCTTTGTTCATGATGGATCTCCAGAAACTAGGACAGTGCCAGGCTTCCAGTAAGTGCTCAGTATTGACTGACTTAATGAATTCACATTTCCCCTTATTCCTACGGCCAGCTACTTCTGCATGTCTATGGGGACTCTTGCTTCTGTCTTTTTTTCTCTTGTGCTGCTGCCCTGTTTGTACAACTGTCATTATTTCTCAGAACTATCACAGTAGGCTGCCACCTGCTAATGAAATTTGGCAAATTATTGAAATTATCATAATTCCAGATGTAAAAATGGGAATGGTACAGACTCACAAAACCGTCACAGGCTTATGTACATACACACTGAGTGGCCAGATTATTATGATCTCATAATAATCTGGCCACTCAGTGTGTGTGTGTGTGTGTGTGTGTGTGTGTGTGTGTGTGTGTGTTAGAGGCCTGGTGCATGAATTCTTGCATGAGTGGGGTCCAGCCAGCCTGGCCAGGGGAAGGAGATATGGGCAGTTGGCCGGCCTGCCTGCTGCGCAAGGGGACAATTTGCATATTAGCCTTTTATTATATAGGACATACACTGAGTGGCCAGATTAGTATACGTTCAGAGACCATAATAATCTGGCCACTCAGTGTATAAAGCATGTAAGTGCTTGGTCCCATGCCTGTTAAACAGAATAGACACTCATATATTAGTTCGAGGCTAGTTCTGGCTTAGCTCTCCTGCCTTGTGTTCTGCCTCATATGTCCCTTAACCCTATACTTTGGCTCCAATGGACCCCTGTGGTGACCCAAATGTCACACACAACTTTGTTTTGCAGATAACGGACAGCAGGAAACAACAAGCAGGCTGGACCCGCTAATTCTTTCTGCCATATAAGGTACTGCTGAACCACATACAGAGCCCCTGGTTTGCATCAAAGGAAGAACGAGCTGTAGAAATCTTTTTATTCTTCATTTTTATAGCAAACAGAAACTAAGAGGACTATGTCTAGCATTTTTTGTTGGGCTTAGAAATTTTGGCTAAATCGACTCATAGGTTTTCAATATTTTAGATGAGAACAGCATCTCTAGGAAGGAAAGGTAATAGTAATGTAAATACGATTCATAACAGTAGCAACCCACAGGTTGAGAACCGCTGCTGTAAAGCCTAAGACCATCGGAAAACACAGATATTTACATTATGATTCATTAACAGTTAGCAAAATTACAGTCATGAAGTAGCAAGAAAAATAATTTTATGGTTGGGGGTCACCACAACATGAGGAACTGTATTAAAGGGTTGCGGCATTAGAAAGGTTGAGAACCACTGCCTTAGATGCAGACACAACTTTAGTTATCCACCGAACCATTTAACATTGAGAGGAGGTAGCAGCTTATCAAATAGCACTGTGAGCCCCACCCAGAACATTGGCAGAGAGACAGACAACTCTCTCTCTATATATATGGTATTTAGCCTAAGCAAGCAGCACAAAACCAGGGAGTCACTCCTTGACAACATGGATTTGCACAGACATTTACCTGAGCCAAGGCTGGAGAGAAGTTCGAGGAACTGGAGCAACCAGATCATGGTCTTGGCATTGGTGCTGGAGACTTGATACTAGTCAAAATGATGCAGCCTTAACTGAAAATGGGTCTTATGCAAAACGTCTGCTTCCTTTTAGAGGTGTGGCATAAGTAGACAGCAGCGAGCAGAGCAAAGGACCCAGACCCAAAGCCCTGGGTGCCTAATGAAAAACTGCTGTTTGAATTTCAACCCTTCTAGTCTGGCTCTTGCACCTGATTAAACATAGGATGGTTACCTCAGCTTCCAGGTGGAGACCTGGAGGATAAAGCAATTTTCCTGTGTCTGGGACTAGAACTGCAGGAGATTGATTCCCACTGGCTCAGTAGCTTCAGGGATAGAAACTGTAGATAACTATTAGAGACTAACCGCTGAGCTCTGCTTCTGTACTATGCTTTCATTGCAAGATAGGGCCACATTCCAATGTCCAGCAGGCTGTGGCTGGGAACGACCCTGCAGGCTGTTCCCAGTCTTTAGAATTTAGAATTCAGAACAAAAGAAAATTCTCGTAGTTTAGACCTTTAAAAGGACTGCCTACAACTGCAATGGTGCAGTTGTGTGGAGTCCACCTGCGTGTGGTGCTCTTGCGGCTGCCCTGGCCAGTTTTTTAATAAATCCTTGCCTGCTTTTTTAAATCAATCATCAGCCTTTGGTGGTCTTATTTTGAACCCAGGGTTTGACCCCACAACACCTAGCAAAGGACAATTGTAGGATGGCACCTCCAGGTGATCTTTCCTCCCCAGAGATAACATTTAGGCCTCAATGACATTTCAGGCCCAGAAAAGCAGGAACACCAGACAAGCAAAGCGATGGCTGACATCAGGACAAGCTGCAATGAGAAAGGAGCCTGTGCTCTGGTGTTAACTCATTTCCTACCCTGAAAGCTGCTGAATATTCTATTGAAGTCTTCCCCTAGGATCTTCCTTAAAATCGCCACCCTTACAACCAACCCCGAGGATGGAAGACCTAGTGATGAGGAGCATAAGATATTTTGGGGCTAGCAATCTGAATTTGTCCCAGTAACCTGCTTTCTACTGCACTCTCTTGCTGGCCGATTACTCCCTTTGTGAAAGGAGGTAGGAGACTAGCAGCCAGACTCCACACCTAGTTAATCAATGTCGCTAATGCACATTCCTGAAGTGACTGCTCCGTCCTTAATTATCTGGTCTCACAAGAGCTATTTACCCAAATACTCCCAATTTATAAGGGCCATAAACCAAGGATGAAACAGCTTCACTAGAGGGAGGTCACTGGTGCCATCCAGGATGGACATTAGCTACAATCTAAGTTAATCATTCTGACTGATTCTCAGAGGTGGGGGAGGGGGAGACAAAAGAAGAGGGCAAGGACTGTGAGAGTGCTCTACCGAAGCTTAGTAGTTAGGAAACAAAGAACCTCAGAAATATATAAGGAGAAAATCTCACTGTATAGGTCGTTCAGGATCTGCATCTTAGAGCACCCTGACCCAGCAGTGCTGCTTTGAATAAAGGCTTTTCCTGAAACTTCAGAGTGTCCAACTGACTCTCCTGAGCCAATTCCATAAATTCTATGTTCCAGAACACCAGCATCCTCTCCCTTTCAGGAGCTACCCTTACTTTCCTCACTCCCAAGCCCCATGGACCCTTCTTTTGCTTCTAGACTTTGTTTTCTCAGCCCATTTCTTCTATGAACTACTTTTTCTACCTCTGTGATTTTATTATATAAATAATCTAGAGTCCCAGTGTATGAATTCATGCACAGGTGGGATCTGGCCAGCCTGGCCACATGCAATTAGGGTAGATTGGGACTGGGCCTGTCAGGAGGAGAAGATGGAGGGAGATTGGCTGGCTGGGGGGAGGGGCCATAGGTGATTGGCCAATTGTGGTTGGGGGGCCAATGGAAGGAAGGGGCTATGGGTGGTGAGCTGGCTGGCCTCTTCCCTGAATGGGGTGGGTGGTGTTGATTGGGGGCCAGTGGCCTGGGGGAGAGGCCATGGGTGGTTGGCCAGTCAGCCCTGCCCCTGATTGGGGTGAGGGGGCCGATCTGAGGTGGGGCGGGGTGTGGGGGAGGGGCTGCAGGAGGTTGGCCAGCTGGCCCCACTCTTATTAAGGTGGGGGTGGGATCAGTAGCAGGGCAGGCCAGGGGGAAGGGCTTCGGGCCTATTATGGTAGGGTGGAGGCTGGCCAGGAGAAGGCGGGGGAATTGGATTCTCCCACCCAGATCTAGGGCAGACCAGCTGGGAGAAGGGCCATGGGAGGTTGGCTAGCCAGCCCCGTGCCCTGATTGAGCCAGTTCACTGGCCATGGTGGGCATCACAGTATCATTACATCATTACAGACACTGGCTTTTTTAATATATAGATTAGAGGCCTGGTACATGAAAATTCATGCACTGGAGGCGGCATCCCTCAGTCCGGCCTGCCCCCTCTCACAGTCCAGGAACCCTTAGAGGAAGGAGGTGACCCAGCAATCAGGGGAAGGTGACACCCCATCACACCTCTGCTGCTACCACTGCCGGCAGTGCAAGCCTTGGCCAGCCCTGGTTACCTGAGCCTCGGGCAGCCCTGGGTGGCTGGGCAGCCACCATCCAAGGCTTGCCTGCACCTTGAACTGGCCCTGGGCAGTTGGGGGCAGGGATGAGGGAACTGGGGACTCTGAAGGCATGTGGGCCTGGCCTTGCTGAGTGCTTATTTCGCTTAGCTTAATGCTCTCCAGATCCATCCATGCTGCTGCAAATGGTAAGAATTCCTTCTTTTTTTAAATAGCAGCGTAGTATTTCATTGTGTAGATGTACCGTAGTTTTTGAACCCACTCTTCTGCTGATGGGCACTTAGGCTATTTCCAAATCTTAGCTATTGTAAATTGTGCTACTGTGAACATAGGGGTGCATATATCCTTTCTGATTGGTGTTTCTTAGGATATATTCCTAGAAGTGGTATTACTAGGTCAAATGGAAGTCCCATAAAAAAAAAAAAAAAATATATATATATATATATAATTGATTTTTCACAGAGAGGAAGAGAGAGGGAGAGAGAGTTAGAAACATTGATGAGAGAGAATCATCGATCAGCTGCCTCTTGCACACCCCCTACTGGGGATGTGCCCACAACCAAAGTACACGTCCTTGACCGGAATCTAACCCGGGACCTTTCTAGTCCATAGGTCGACACTCTATCCACTGAGCCAAACCGGTTTTGGCTGAAAGTCCCATTTTTAAATTTTTGAGGAAACACCCTACTATTCTTCACAATGGCTGCACCAGTCTGCATTCCCACCAAGACCTAAGTTGAATCCAACATGTTTGTCTGACACAAGAAGCATTTTCTGCCTCTCATCTGGGCCTCTTTGTAAGGCACAGGAAGGGCCAGGTTAACATGGTGGTGCTGGGAAGGCTAAATAGCCATCTCAGAGGGTGGATTAAAAAAAAAAATCGAGGTGATGTGTACTGGCTGGGGAAGCTACAGGGATGATGCCAGGGGATTCCAGAAGCCAGGAAATAGTTTGGCTTCAATATTTACTTGGTAACTGACAGGAATCCAAAGAAGTCCAACCAGGACCATCCTATGGACCTGGACCCCATGCTAGGTACAAGCAAGGTTTCATTGTACCCTCCCTCTGGCTCCTTGCTTCCCCTCAGGAAGCTCCCAGGAGATAGAGACTTTAAAGAACACCGACTGCTGTTAGGGTCGCTGAAGGAGGAACCCATGAGTCCAAAAGGGGTAAAGAATTATAAATGTATTGTTACATCTGCTAGAAGGCTGAGACCAAACGGGTATCAGCAGGGCAGAGTAGAGGGAGTGGGATATTTATGTCTCTTGTCAGGGTCAGTCAGAGTAATGGGTCAGACCAGGTGCAGGTGGGGGCCAAGTGTAAGCGGTCCACTGGAAACTGGGTGAGTCGGTTACTGGAAGCCGAAGGCCGACAATCATGAAATCTACAAGGAGAATAACAGTAAAATCGCCGGGAGGGGCGAGAGGCCCAGCAGAACATAATGGAGCATGAGAATGTGCCTAACAACTGTCCGCTGGAGATTTTCTTTATTAGAGAGGACAACTAGTAAAAGACACACTCCAACCTTGTGCAACTTTGAAATGCCAGAAGTGGGGTGTTAATCTGTTACAGAATTTACCAGGCAACCGAAAAACACACAACGGGTGCTCAGAAGATTCCGGAAAAACCCTTTATTTGCAGATGGAATAGGACGGTGACTCCGGGGAGTCTGTTTCCACAGCCTGAGCACCGAATGCAGAGGGTCTCTCCCATGTACCCCCTTGGTTTCTCTGTCTCCCCAAATGTGGACCAGTTTTCCAGACTTTTCTCAGGCTTTGCTACCCTCTGTGGATTGGGGTGGGAAAATTGAGATTTCACCCAAAGACCAGGCCTGGGTGGTGCCAGTGACTTCTGGCTAAGCTGTTAAATTCTCGGTTTGTGGCCCTTGTAAATCGGGTGGATTTAGGAAAACAGATTATTGCCTAAGGAAGGAGAAGTGACCTTATAGGCTAACAAGAATGTGCATTAGGATACTGGTTGCTGGCACAGATTCAGATTGCTAGCCCCCAATTGTCTTATCAAAGCTGGTCCAAGAGAGCACATATGCTAGTTAACATAATTATAGGATAGTTAACAAGATTATGTGCTCCCCAATATTTCTTACATCCCTTCCTTAATTTCAAATGCATAAAAGAAGCTGCAGAACTGTTATTATTCTCAGGAGCATCTGAGAGCTTGTTCCACAGCTTATTGTCATCAGTTTGGCTCAAATAAATTCTTATAAAAATTTAAAAAGGAGAATTGAATTTATCTAAGGAAAGGGGATGGGAGATGGGATAGCCAAAGGGATGGGCTAGTGTTCCTATTTCTCCACACCCTCTCCAACACGTGTTGATTTATTGTTGACAGCCATTCTGACAGGTGTGAGGTGATCTCATTGTGTTTTAATTTGCATTTCTCTGGTGATTAGTGATGCTGAGCATCTTTTCATACGTCTGTTGGCCATCTGTATGTCCTTTTTGGAGAGGTGTCTATTCAGGTCTTTTGCCTTCTTAAAAAAATTGGATTGTTTGCTTTTT